TGGATGGTGTCACCTCCTAGATGGTGTCACCCCCTGAATGGTGTCACCTCCTAGATGGTGTCACCCCCTGGATGGTGTCACCTCCTAGATGGTGTCACCCCTAGATGGTGTCATTCCCTAGATGGTGTCACCCCTAGATCATGTCACTCACTAGATGGTGTCACCCCTAGATGCTGTCACCCCCTAGATGGTGTCACCTTCTAGATGGTGTCACTCCTTAGATTTTTTAATTCTCTAGATGGTGTCACCCCTAGATGGTGTCACCCCCTAGATGGTGTCACCCCTAGATGGTGTCACCCCTAGATGGTGTCACCTCCAACGAAACATAACGTCGGCACTAATAACCACCATTTAGGCTAAAAGATCTCCTGTATCTGCTATATCAAAACTATTTTTTCTAATCACCAAACTACACTCGTACAACATTACAGTTCATTAGTTCAAATATCTGCTCGAACAAACAACAATGCTTATTGTCCACATCCATGTGATACTTTATGTTCTATTTTTCAATAGACATCAAAAGACAAAGTGTATATAAGTTTGAAATTTACAGAACAGGATGCAATAACCTGGATATGTGATTGAATATAACGCTTTGAATTATTTATTCAATCTGTTTACTAAAGGCTGAGAAATAATAGGCCCTCATAGTAGTATTGTTCAGAATAAAACCTATAGCATGGGTTCCCAAACTGGGGGTCGCGAAGGACTTTCTGGGGGGTCGCGAACTGGTAGACTAAACCCGAGCAATGAAAATTTTTTTAGAAGAATATCTGAAATTCGGCTTTACTAACATCACAGGACATGATATGGAGAAAATGCGTACTGTGCAAAGTTGTTCTCAGCTAAGTCTATAAAACCTTCAAAACTAAAACGTCATTTTGAGACGAGTAATTCGGAACACAACAAAAATATATGCAGTTCTTTCGTCGGCATGAAGCTAGTTGCAAACGTCAGATTTAAGTTTCCTTCAAGGAAACACAGCATTAGTGCAAGCATCAAATGAAGTCGTATTAGAAATCGCCAAGCAAAAACAACACAATAGGAGAAAATCTCATCAACCCTTGCATGTTGAAGATGTTGAAATTAATTCTTGGGGAATGGGGATCCCAGTGCAGTAAAGATGCAACAAATAGCTCTGTTCAATAATACTATTCAGCGGCTTACAGCAGACATGTCCGTAGAAGTTAAAGAACAAATATTGAGTGAAATCAAGCTTTCAACATTGTTTGCTTTTCAAGTTGATGAATCAACAGACATGAGTTCGTGTTCGCAGTTGCTTGTCTTTGTGAAATTTATTCCTTCAGATGATAGCAAAGAAGAGTCGCTATTTTGTGAAGATATGGAGAAAATAAATACGGTTTTTTGAAGCCGGATGATTAAAATGGGAAAACGGCTGTGGGTTTTGTACGGATGGTGCGCCAACTATGTTTGGGTCAAAATCGGGCTTTCAGAAAACAGTAAAATATTTAGCTCCCTAACCAATGGAAATCTGCTGCATGATTCATGATTCCCTAGTATGCCCTCGCCAGCAAGACTCTTCCGACTCCATTGCTAATAAACGTCGTAAATTATATTAAATCTGTGTGTTTAAAGAACTGTGAAAAGACACGAATAAAGATCACGAGGTTTTGCTTTTCTACACCACAGTACGATGGCTGTCAAAAGGAAATGTGAATCGTGTTTTTTAATTGAAAGATTAAATCAAGTTGTTCTTGGAAGTGCAAGGAAACAAAACCTTTTCATATACTTTAACGATATGGTGTGGTTGAGGAGAATATCATACCTAGCAGATATATTCGAACATCAACATACAAAATGAACGAATATTATCTCTTTTCATGATAATCTCGGGGCATTTATATCAGAGCTGCAAAATTGGCGAAGAAAAATAATTCGTGTAAATATTGCCATGTTTGAGAAACAGCAGTGTCTTATAAGAATCTGATTTTGAGATAAATAAAAATTTGAAACATGATATTTCTGGGCATCTTAAATCTCTAGAAAACCGCGGCGTTATTTTCTCTGAGCTGAAAGAAGCATAAACTGCACAGACACGTAACCCATTCTCTGCGTCCCTTGATGTTGTGAACATTCCCGATGAATTACAAGATGCATTCTTAAATTTGCGGAATGACTCGGCGTCATATGAAAAACTGCTCACATCTTTGGTGTAGTACGCACCATTTATACCCAAACGTGAAATTGATTGTCTTTCGAGTTCAAGTTCCTTTTGTTTCTACATATCTTTTTCAACACTTTTCCAATTAAAAATCAAACATAGAAATTAATTAAATGTTGAGAATCACATGAGATTGGCGTTAACAAAAACTCAACTTCGAATGTTGAGGTTAGATAATAGCATAAAATTTTACTCATCATATTAAAACAGTTATTAAGAATAATTTATTTTGAAAGTCACCTAGAAAATCTTACTTTAATCCTTATAAATTTCCTTATTAATTTCGACTTTTTAATTCCATGGGGGTCGCGGGTCACTTACTTTTTTAAAAGGGGGTCGCCACTCGAAAAAGTTTGAGAACCATTTTTAATTACATTTAAGGTAACTAAACAATTCGTTTAATAAAGATATGACAGCTGTTTCTTTATTAGTGATATAGAAAATTTAATATTTGTTGTATTTTAGACCAAAATATCTGCACTAGAATGAACTTCATAATCAAATGTGGTGTTAGTATCGGTGCACCATTACAGGATACATTAGTGTTAGCAAAATCTTTGTCACGAGTTAGGGGTTGTCCCCCTTGACCCTCATCCCTAGTGAGAGAGGGGCTCGAGACTACAGTGACGAGGGAGGGGGAGTTCTGAAAGTGTGAAGATAAGAAGGAATGAGGTGAAAGTCATTTTAAAAGCCTGACTTTGCTAGGGACGGCGAGGTCAAGCAGAAGTATGGACTAGCTCAGTAAAAGAGAAAAAAACTTGCTTAGGAGAAGATAAAATAAAAAATTAAATAGACCGTGTACATAACGGGTTTAGTGCATTACTTTTGCCATTATCCCCATATGTATATATATATATATATATATATATATATATATATATATATATATATATATATATATATATATATATAGGTATATATATATACTAGCCGTCCCGGCCAGGCCCTGCTCTGGCTTCTGTGAAAAACCTTTCTGTTAAAGACCATTACCTGTGTGTTTAGTAATCATCATAAACCCGGCATTGCACACCCAAACCCAAACCAAAACAACAAAACGCAAACATAAAGCTAACACAATTACAAATACAAACGAAAACAAAAACCTAACAACTAACCCAACCACAACCACAAACACCAATACGAACACAAAGAAAAAAAAAACAAACGAAAAAGCAAACGAAAACAAACCAAATCCAAATGCAAAACCAACCACAAACCCAAAGAAAAAAACACAAACGAAAAAACAAACGAAAACAAACCAAATAAAAACGCAAAACCAACCACAAACACAAATACAAACACAAACGCAAAGAAGATAAAACACAAACGAAAACGAAAAAAGAAAGAACAAAAACGAACCAAATCAAAACGCAACCACTAACGCAAACCCAACCTAAACACAAAGAAAACACTAACGCGAACATAAACGCACAGTGCTCAGAGTCTAGCCCGGGGCGGAATCGCCTGTTTCAGCTTAATAAACGACTATAGTACCCCAACTAATTCATAGTCTTTTGCACTCACTTTAATGAACGTAGGCGCGAAACCGAACACGGGAGGCCCGGGACCCCAAATAGCACCCTGTCTGGGCGCCAGAGGACGCACCATGACGTCACCGCCTGATTGAACTTAGTAAACGACTATAGTACATAACTTATTCATAGTCTTTTGAACTCACGCGAACGTATATACCATAGCGTACACCAGAAGGCCCGGGGCGCCAAATAGCACCCTGTCGGGGTGCCGGAGGACGCCCGGATTTGATTCACTTAAAGACTATAGTAACCTTTCTTACCCATAGTCTATCGCACTGTTAAAAACAAAACTATGCAGCATAGCGCTCACATGATAGCCCAGGGTGCCAAATCGAACCGTGCAAGGGCGCCGGCGGACGCGCCTGTTTCAATTTAGTGAACAAAAATGATAATACTCCAAGCTTATCCGTAAATGGAAAGAAATAAACATATAGGATTTGTAGGACCTGGCTTATTAAATGTTATTGATTTAAAAAAAAATATTGAACAGTATGTTCAGTGTATAGAATAAATAAAAGGCAGTGTTAAAAATACCTAACGACATTGCACTTAATCAATCCCCGCTAATTATGTAATTATTTTTTTTTTCTTAACACCAAAAACAAAGTAATAAAATGTAAATTCTTTCTTCTTAAGAATTTTTTTTTATTAAAGGGAAGTAACTGTGAAGTCAATACATTTCCGACACAATTTTAGAAATTTTATAAACGTCGATACACTTTTTAAACATTTTATGTCGTGTTCATAATTGAAAATTATTCTTCTAAGTAAATAGAATGAAAATTGTTTTTAAAGACTTTCAATTGTAATTTTTTGACTCGTAAATTTAGACTATGAGCACGATAAAAAATCTAACACTTAAATCCATAGAACTGTCAACGACAAACTTTTTTTTTGCCACACGTTACAGAACTGAGCTTTATATATTAGATATATATATATATATATATATATATATATATATATATATATATATATATAAATATATATATATATATATTGGTATATTTATATATATATATATATATATATATATATATATATATATATATATATATATAAATATATATATATATATATATATATATATATATATATATATATACACATAATAGATTATATTGTTTGGAAACCCAAAAGTTTGCGTCACTCACGATTAATCCGCCCCGGCCATGTAGCGCAACGTCATCAATGTTCAAAGCGCCCCTCCCCCCCCCCCCCCCCCCAGTCCTAATATCTCTCCACATTGTGCTCATGGGTTGTACTACCAAGCTGCTACGTTTTACTTCAATCATTCGACGAGCTATCACAGCTGTAAACTCACCTGAACTTTAGCCTGACCAACCAGCCAACAAAGAGAATCTACACTAAAACATCATGAAGAACTTTGTCAGCATCTTGGCTCTCTTCTTAGCAGCCAGCGTTATTCCAACTAGCACTACTCGTAAGTAAAGCTACTGTTAAGAAGATGAAGTAGATTTCATATGTTTATAAACCACGGCATTTGAAGAGATAATGTGGTCAACACTATGCCTAGCGCTTTTACTTTCCCTACTGTGAGTCACATCAGAGCTAGGTGAACACTATTTAAGCACAATGTTAGGCTTATGCCAGAAATTTTGCAGGAATGTACTCAAAAACTTTTGCAAATTTTCATTGCGATAGCATGAAGGGTGTAGAAATACATAACCGACAGACACACAATATTCAAATGTACAAATATACATATGTATATATATATATATATATATATATATATATATATATATGTATGTTCAGATATATAAATATATATGTTCAGATATATATGCCCATCTCACGCAGAAAAAAACCTTCTGATTTGGGGGACATCCATTAATGATGTTATGCTTTTTTTGAAGACTCACTGATTATGAATGTTAAATTAATTCATTTACTAATAATATAAAAGACTTACCTTTCTTGTATTATGAATAAGACTCATCAAACTAACTGCTATTAATGTAATATCCACTGACTAGTATCTGATAACATTTTTGCAGTAGAGAAAGTACGGCTAGGTAGTTCGCAAACGATTCATTTATCTATTTGCTTTTAGTGAGGTTAAGAGCGAGGGGGGGGGGGGGCTGAGAAAGACACTTAAAAGGGATAAAAAAGCGCCGAAGCTGGGATGGTCTCAATTACTTTTCCTAAAGTCTATTGTAAAACAATCAAGGGAGAGAACTCAAATTATACACGTTTACTATCACATTTAAAAAACAAGAAGTAAACGTTCATCAAACCAAAATTATTGTCATTACGTTCTTTTTTATTATTTGTAGGATACAGGATAGTACAGAATAGTTGTTCTACCAATACAACAAACGTACATTTTATATTGTAGAAGCACAATTGATTGTGGACCCCTAACCAACGCTATAAAACCCAAAGCTCGGCTTTCACAATGGTTTAAAAACAAAGATAGTGTCTATAGAATAGAGATTATCCAACCGCAGCTGTAGTATTATCTTTATAAAACAACCATCAAGTTAAAAATGCGCGAAACCTAATTTTTTATTATAAGAAAATAATTTGGCTTGGGCCCTCTAGTCGGCCACCCCCCCCCCCCCCCCCCCCCCGTAGATCTAGAATTTTAGATCTAGATCTAGATAAATTTACCGTATACTCAAATAAGAACTGTCCAGCTTATCCTATTGAAAATGATAACAGTTTTGGAACCTAATAATTTTTTTAACATATGGTTAAAGCAAAAGCCTACAGAAAATTTAGCTTAACACTGCTTTAAACTTTTGATTTGAATGGGCAACAGGGTCTTCCATGGAAGCCGCCACAGAGGCGTAGCGATGGGGGGGGGGGGGACACAGGGGGGGTACATATGTCCCCGGGCGCCGAGGGCGTCAAAATGGATTGTAAACACAAATTAAAATGTCATTTTAGCTGCATTTTTGCATTATAAATAGTTTGAGGAGGGGGGTGCAAATCGAACAAGTTTGAGGGGGGGGGGGTGCAAATCAAAAGTTTGAAACATTTGCTCCCGAGGGGAGCGCCAAATTGAAAGTTTGTCGGGAAGGGTCGCTACGCCTCTGAGCCGCCATGTTTGTTGGGAAAATAAGTAAATGTATTAAGTGATGTCTTTATAAATACAGTACTTGTTCTGAACTTTTATAATTAAAGCAGTGTTTTCTACCAATTTGGTATCTCGTTTAATGTACTTTATTTTTCAACAGAAACGAAATGGGACAATTTAAGAGGTAAGATTTCCTTGTTAATTTCTAATAAGGTCTTCTACTTAATGCGAACAAAATAATTTCAATCTAAAAGCTAGCTGCTCTCCGACAGAGCATTAATATCATTTCTTGTTATTTCATGTAAAAATGTATACTAGACAAGCAAGAAATAATTTTTTAATCGAAGAGATTTTTACCTCAGTGAAGTGGTCAATGCGGCCCACTAACGAGACTTTTGTGGTGCTGCCGAGGAGATCCCGTGAGGCAGAGAAAGAGGGCTGGACGAAGGTCAGCGAATGCACGAGTAAGTTTTCCATTGGTTCATTGTTATGTCAATAGTATACCTGTTTTGGTATGGAAGCATCAATAAACTACCTGCAATTAGATGGATGTATCAATAATACACCTGTTATGGGATGAATGTATCAATAAATTAAATACTTTTAAATGGGTGTATCAATAACTTGATACTTCTATAAATTACCTGCTATTAGATGGATGCATCAATAACGCACCTGTTATGGGATGGATGTATCAAATCAATAGACTAACTGTTGATACGGGTACACCATCATTATCTTTAACTATGCGTGACAACAAAAATTCAAAAAGATGACGGGCAACACCATTCGTGCTTCTTCTCCTCGTTCTTAATTGTGGGGTCTGGTGGCACTGCAGTTCCGCCCCTGTGTACACTATCCACTTGTACACTCTTCACCTGTACATAATCCATCAGTACACTAATCACATGTACACTATTTACCTGCACACTGCTCACCTGTACACTATCCACCTGTACAATATTTACCTGTACACTGCTCACCTGTACACTATCCACGTGTACACTATCCACCTGTACACTATCCACCTGTACACTATTCACCTGTACACTATTCACCTGTACACTATCCACCTGTACAATATTCACCTGTACACTGCTCACCTGTACACTATCCACCTGTACACTATCCACCTGTACACTATTCACCTGTACACTATTCACCTGTACACTATCCACCTGTACAATATTCACCTGTACACTGCTCACCTGTACACTATCCACCTGTACACTATCCACCTGTACACTATTCACCTGTACACTATTCACCTGTACACTATTCACCTGTACACTATTCACCAGTACACTATTTACCTGCACACTGCTCACCTGTCCACTATCCACCTATACACTATTCACCTGTACACTATTCACCTGTTCACTATTCACCAGTACACGGCTCACCTGTACACTATCCACCTGTACAATATTCACCTGTACACTGCTCACCTGTACACTATCCACCTGTACACTATCCACCTGTACACTATCCACCTGTACACTATTCAACTGTACACTATTCACCTGTACACTATTCACCAGTACACTGCTCACCTGTAGAATGCTCACCTGTACACTACTCACCTGTACACTGCTCACCTGTACACTGCTCACCTGTACACTACTCACCTGTACACTACTCACCTGTACACTATTCACCAGTACACTGCTCACCTGTACACTGCTCACCTGTACACTATTTACTTGTACACTATTCACCTGTACACTGCTTACCTGTACACTATTCACTTGTACATTATCCACCAGTACAATATTCACCTGTACACTGCTCACCTATACACTGCTCACCTGTATACTGCTCACCTGTACACTATTCACTTGTACACTATTCACCTGTACACTGCTCACCTGTACACTATTCACTTGTACATTATCCACCAGTACAATATTCACCTGTACACTGCTCACCTGTACACTATCCACCTGTACACTATCCACCTGTACACTATTCATCTGTACACTGCTCATCTGTACACTGCTCATCTGTACACTATTCACCTGTACACTATTCACTTGTACACTATTCACTTGTACACTGCTCACCTGTACACTATTCACTTGTACACGATTCACTTGTACACTTTCCACCTGTACATCGCAATAACCAGCAGATGATCTAGTATTGGCTTCGATCAATCAATTAACTATCTATTCTACTTTTGTCTATATCTGTATCTCTACGTTGGTATGGGTGTACATCGTATTATAATACTTCTTTTGGAAATGTTTTAAGTTTAGTAGATGTCTACATTATATTAGAATGTTATTCTTGTAACATCTTCAGTAATCAGTATATTGATGGGCATATTTGGTATTATAATGATATGTTTATCCACATTTTTTTTCTAGAAATTTCCTTGTGGAGATCAAACTTATCACTTGTAAGTATTGCACTTATCTCTTTCTTCAATAGGCTCCACACAATGGAGAGGACAAAGATACGTGCTCAACAACGACTATGCTGTTGTACTCTTGTATGACGTCAATGGGTTCATTGCTGGTATCCAGTCAACGGTACTGTCAACATGAATTAAATATTTAAATTAAATGGATAAAATATTAATACAATCAATGCTTAATTAATACGTTTCTGAGTATTAATTGTTATTCACAAATATAATAGAAAACAGTTTACTAAATAGAAGATTCAGATACGTCAGTGTCCCTTTCGCCATACACTTTTGTCCTTATTGTTATTTGTTCATTTTTAAAGTTCTGTCTAAAAGTGTATAACAATAGCCCGTTTGAAGATCGTCTTTTCAGGTTCCTAAGGGTGGTAGCTATCCTCCCACTACCCTCAGGCCACCATTTGTTAGGGACGGCAATCGCTGGGCGATAACAGCCTACTTCGTCGACCCTGGTTAGTATGGCAAAACTCAGAGGATTTGTCGTTAATAACAAAACCCAGAGGAAATATCGTATATTGACACCACCCAGTTTGTCAGAAACTTTACAAATGTTAAGACACGCAAGTTGGTCAAATCCAAAGGAAGTGTTATAATTATCTCAAATCTCACAGATCAGTTTATTAGGTATTCCAATTATGTAAACGCAATATATATATATATATATATATATATATATATATATATATATATATATATATATATATATATATATATATATATATATATACACACATATATATATATATATATATATATATATATATATATATATATATATATATATATATATATATATACTAGCGTACCCGACCCCCGCGCGTTGCCGCGGGGATAGAAGAAAGTTTGACGAAATATGTTAGAAGGATTTCACCAACGCGTTATCAATTATATGTTCTTAGATGCGTGACCTTCTTTTCTAAAAATGAGTTATTTAAATGTAAACAATGCCTGCGCATAAATACCAGGACATGCGTTTACCTACACTACAGGATGAAAACCTTGAGTGTACATTAATCACTCACCGAAATAATATGGTAGAACACACTTCGGTGAGCGCCTCTGTGTCAGAGCGTAGAGGGGAGCTCTCAGTGCCCCCACCCCCCGATTACACTACCGCATAGGCGCGGCGTACTACCCCTGGCTCCTTAAAACTAACAGGCGCCATCGCCCAAATAGCATCCTGTTAATAATGATGCAGATTTCGTCATTCGCTAATGTGACACAAATTATCAGGATTTTTTTCTTTAACACGTAAAATAATTATTTGACGTGTTTTAAATATCAGTGTGACTGATGCAATATGCTAGCGTTACTAATGGTCTATTATTAGTTGGTCGATATCAATTTCTAACTGGATTGTCTAATAATAGATGCTTATTGCATCATTCGCAAAGTGACGAAACTCTACAGTAGGCTCCTCATATTCAAAAAGTTATTTTTTCATCTTTCGCAAGGTGACGAAACTGTACAGAAGGATTTCCTCGCGTTACAAAGTTATTTTTAGAAGCCTGTTGTAGTTTTACCGCTTAATATAGTAGTACTCCTTACTCGCTATGCAGGACGCTCGATTAACGGATGCCAAGTGCCAACATAGTCGCTCTAAAACTCTGGGCGCCAAACCGTGTATTGACGAAAGTTGTACCCTATATGGCGCCGCCCATAAAAAACTTTAGTTTTCTTTTTCGCAGAAATATTCTCGGGAGTATTCTCATCTACTCCCTAAAGTTTCATGGTACTCGGATAAACCGCATCCGAGTTTTATTTTTTATAAACCGTGTATAGAGAAAGAAAAAAATCGCTCCCCCCACCCCTGGGGCGCCGCCCTTGCAATATTAAACAATATGTTTTTTACAGAACCCTACCATATTATCACATTAAAGGGACGTGACTGCATAAAACAATTGAAACTTAAACATTCCCCGTTTATATATATATATATATATATATATATATATATATATATATATATATATATATATATATATATATATATATCAGAGGCATATCCAGGTTTTCGTTGTAGGGGGAGCGAAAAGAGCAAAAAAAGGCGCCGAATTTTTAACGCGTTCTATATACGTGTACTATATATATATATATACATATATGTATATATATATATATATATATATATATATATATATATATATATATATATATATATATATATATATATATATATAATTACTAGCTGTATGCCATTACTTCGCTCTGATGTAAAACAAATTGAAAGTAGCACTCTGAAGAAATAAGAAAAAACACACAATGTAGGCCGGCAAAATAAAAATTGTATCAATCTAAACAAAAACAAACAAAAAAATCTACACACACTACAACCAAAAACAATAAACGTAACACAATCTGTTTTGTAATTCTTGTAAACAAATTTCTTACATAATAATTCCTAGGAAATTATTTAAGACAAGTGAAATAGGGGAAATAATCACTTTCTTAATATAAATATGTATATATCTACACATTTAATTATAATTGTCAAAACAAATAAATAATTACTTTAGAATATCATCAAATTGTTTAACACTATTCATGTTTACAAAATGTTTTTGTCTATAATCATAATTTAGTATATCGTCAGCATAAATGCTAAAGTATTACAGCATAATGAAAGTTTTTAAAATCAGAGTTGGTATAAAACCACGCTCTTCTACATAATTAAAAACATTCGGAATAAAAGCCTACATTTAGCTAAATATCCGTCTTTATAGTTAAGATCATATATTTTTAAATAACTACTGCTTCTCTGTGTTCTTTAAAGATAATTTTTAACATAGTGATAGCTATGGGTTAGATCACTGTATTGATCACACACCTTTTTACTGGTAATTGCAAAAACAATATTCACAGAGTTTTACGTTTAAAAAGCTAATTATTTTTTGGCGGCATGGTACTTCGGTACATCACTACGCGTTTTTCTACATGTACTTAACAATAACAGATCAGTTCGGGGTGGTTTGGGGGGGGGGGGGGAGGGGTGTGGGTTCATCTTCATTCACCACTGTCCGGTCACTTTAGGTCAATTATCCAACCCAGTGTATACCTAGGTGTGACATTAATGTCGCTCTACACAATTGTGGTGGTGAGGTGTGAGTTTGTGGAGGGTGGGGGGGGGGGGGGGAGATAACCAACTAAGAGTGAACATAGAGTCAGTTTTTAGATGACTGTTCTAAACATACATATATATTACACAAATATATATTACACAAATATATATTACAGAAAGAGATTTAAATAAGTAGCAGTGGTATTATGACAATATATTTTTTACAGAGGGGTCCATGGGGGAGGGGGGTTGTAACTGTTTCATATAATTTTTTTATCGTAATCACTATCGCCCAAACTGTAAGAATACTACTACTTCATCGTGATGACGTTGTTGACCTTGTCAAAATTTCCCCACCATTACGCAGTTTGCTCATCAGTAAATGTAAATAGAGGTGCCACGTCAATTGTATTTGTTTCAGTATTGTAATGTTTTAAAAATTAATCACACTATTCAAACTGTATATATAAAGTAATTATGTATGAAGTTTTATGTATAACATTTTCTAATTCAATTATTCGTAAGCAAATACATTATACAGTTGCCTTAAACTTAACACCCCTCTTGCCAAGTGGTACCACCCGTAGAGGTTTTTAAACATTGCAATGCATCGTAATGGTTATTTTTAGAATGGCAAACTGATGCAGCTGTTAATACGTGTTGTAAACGTAGACACTACTAGACTAGTACAATAATGCTTAATTGCTGCATGAAAAGAAATCTTGTGATTTACATAGATGTGCTTACCAAAAATATTTTTTTAACAAATATCATTGTTTAAAACTTTGAGTTTAAAAAGTTTCTAAAAAGGCGCCACTTTGCTGAAAATGGCCAGAGGGGGAGCGGTCGCTCCCCCTGCGTACGCTACTTATATATATATATATATATATATATATATATATATATATATATATATATATATATATATATATATATATATATATATATAATTTTATATAAGTGAAAATGTCACGACCGTTCCCGCTTCCCACGGTGACCTGTTAATTTAGCGCATCTCTGACCTTCCCTGTGATAATGAAAAAACCAAATCCTAAGATATGTGATATTACTGGGTTGATAATTGACACCTCTAACTTCTCAATTTTACATATTATCATATTAAAGGGACGTGACTGCATAAAACAATTGAAACTTAAACATTCCCCGTTTATATATATATAATTTAGCGTTAATTTAGTGCATTCCTGACCTTCCCTGTGATAATGAAAAAAACTTTTCTCCCCTCCCCAGCAATCATCTGTACAACAGGCCGCACCCAACAGGGAACCAACAGGGAACGGGCACTAACTTGTACTTCCAGAACAGTACCAACCCGTTTAGCAGCGTTATGATACCACGAACAGAGGCTGGCATTGAAAGAACTAGTTGGATAAAAGGAAAATGCTTCTGGCTAATGGGTCAGTTCTTTAAAAAATACACACACAGACTTCAAAATAATTATACCATGTTTTTTTTATTAAAATAGATGAAATATCTAACCATTGTAGATTTAGTTCGGTGAATCGGATTAATAATAGAAATATTGTACAATCATTGTTACCAACAAAAAGTACTATCAGAGTTAGTTAGGTACCATCAAAGTCAAGTATCATCAGAGTGAGGTACCATTCGAGTGAGTCAAAGAAGTACGATCAGAGTCAGTTATGTATCATCAGAATCAGATATATCATCTGGGTGAGTCAGGTACCATCAGAGTGAGTCAGCTACCATCACAGGGAGTTAAAGAGGTACCATCAGAGTATGTTATGTATCATCAGAGTCAGACATATAATCTGGGTGTCAGGTACCATCAGAGTCAGTTAAAGAGGCATATTCAGAGTCAGTTAAAAGCACATGTAGTCAGGTGCCATCAGATTTAGTCAGGTACCATATGAATATGTCAGGTATCGAAACAGTGAGTCAGGTATCATTAGAGTGAGTCAGGTATCATAAGAGTGAGTCAGGTATCACAAGAGTCAGTCAGGTATCATAAGAGTGAGTCAGGTATCATAAGAGTGAGTCAGGTATAATAACAGTCAGCCAGGTATCATAAGAGTGAGTCAGGTATCATAAGAGTGAGTCAGGTATTATAAAAATGAGTCAGATATAATAAGATAGTGAGGTATCATAAGAGTGAGTCAGGTATCATACTAAAAGTCGTACGCTCTACCGCCCGAACAAGCCGTACCCAAATAATGCTAAACCATGAATTCACACTACAGCCATGTCCGCTATTCTACGAATTCTTATGTTTTCTAACCACGACAGGGCTCCACTATTGGCACAACATGGGATTGAACTCTAACTGTGACAAGGCTTTCCCGGCTTTTGTGCTCTATACTGATCATAAACTCAGAGCCTTTGGTTGGGCATTCCTCGCTAACATGACTTCTCCAAGATTCGAGCCTGTGCCACCGACTTCTTATAAGGTAAATCCAGACAATAATCTTTTTTTTTTTTGCATTCTATTAGAAAATATAAATATTTTTAACAGAGGCAAAGCTACTCGCTCCATACACAGTAAAGTCCACATCACACTACTGAGTTTGTGGTCCACAACACACTACTGAGTTTGTGGTCCACATCACTTTACTGAGTTTGTGGTCCACATCACACTACTGAGTTTGTGGTCCACATCACTTTACTGAGTTTGTGGTCCACATCACACTACTGAGTTTGTGGTCCATATCACACTACTGAGTTTGTGGTCCACATCACACTACTGAGTTTGTGGTCCACATCACTTTACTGAGTTTGTGGTCCACATCACACTACTGAGTTTGTGGTCCATATCACACTACTGAGTTTGTGGTCCACATCACACTACTGAGTTTGTGGTCCACAACACACTACTGAGTTTGTGGTCCATATCACACTACTGAGTTTGTGGTCCACATCACACTACTGAGTTTGTGGTCCACAACACACTACTGAGTTTGTGGTCCACATCACACTACTGAGTTTGTGGTCCACATCACACTACTGAGTTTGTGGTCCACATCACTTTACTGAGTTTGTGGTCCACATCACACTACTGAGTTTGTGGTCCATATCACACTACTGAGTTTGTGGTCCACATCACACTACTGAGTTTGTGGTCCACATCACACTACTGAGTTTGTGGTCCACATCACACTACTGAGTTTGTGGTCCACAACCCACTACTGAGTTTGTGGTCCACAACCCACTACTGAGTTTGTGGTCCACATCACACTACTGAGTTTGTGGTCCACATCACTTTACTGAGTTTGTGGTCCACATCACACTACTGAGTTTGTGGTCCATATCACACTACTGAGTTTGTGGTCCACATCACACTACTGAGTTTGTGGTCCACATCACACTACTGAGTTTGTGGTCCACATCACACTACTGAGTTTGTGGTCCACATCACACTACTGAGTTTGTGGTCCACAACCCACTACTGAGTTTGTGGTCCACAACCCACTACTGAGTTTGTGGTCCACATCACACTACTGAGTTTGTGGTCCACAACACACTACTGAGTTTGTGGTCCACATCACACTACTGAGTTTGTGGTCCATATCACACTACTGAGTTTGTGGTCCACATCACACTACTGAGTTTGTGGTCCACATCACACTACTGAGTTTGTGGTCTACAACCCACTACTGAGTTTGTGGTCCACAACCCACTACTGAGTTTGTGGTCCATATCACACTACTGAGTTTGTGGTCCACATCACACTACTGAGTTTGTGGTCCACATCACACTACTGAGTTTGTGGTCCACAACCCACTACTGAGTTTGTGGTCCACAACCCACTACTGAGTTTGTGGTCCACAGCACTCAACTCACTACTGAGTTTGTGGTCCACAACCCACTACTGAGTTTGTGGTCCACAACCCACTACTGAGTTTATGGACCACAACCCACTACTGAGTTTGTGGTCCACAGCACACAACACACTACTGAGTTTGTGGTCCATAGCACACAACACACTACTGAGTTTGTGGTCCACAGCACTCAACTCACTACTGAGTTTGTGGTCTTGGCCCGCAATACATCAGTGTTAATGCGGTCCTGTTGTATAGAATCTTGTTTATGAGTGAAAGAGTGCATTGTATCTAGATTTACATCTTTATCTCTGTCTGCAGTATTTCATCGATCCAGTCCCTACATGCATGAATACTAGAGTCATGTCTTCCATGCACATTTTCCTAACCACGGAAAATGATATGACATGCGGTCCTCCTCAACAAGGAAAGTAGTTCAAAGAGCGCACGTTGTTTGAAAAAAAAATCTATTATTCATCCTGAATAAATAGAATCTTAAAACTTGTATTATGAAATGTGTATTTTGTTTTATACTTATGAAAAAAAAATAAAAACAAGATGACATGTCAGAAGAGATAGGGAATCGACAGAGGAGCGCTCAACTAAAACGAAAAATTGACGATTTTTTCGCCTCATTCCAGTAATTTAACGCTCTTACTTTAAATACATCTATAAGCAAAGGTTAAAAACCCTAACACACAGGCCTAAACATACACACTAACATACACACTATGGAAACAGAAGATTATTTGACTGTATTGAGAACGTTAGCAAAAAAAAAAAACTTGTTTCAGAGGTATTGCTGAGGGAACAAATATTAGGCATAAGACACAATGAATCGAGAAAGTTGGTCTTAAAGCAATCGTAATTGACGTCGGAAACCTGTACAGAAATGTGCAGAGTTACGAATACAATGGACAAATAGGTCAAAATATATGACGCTGCTGTTGTGAGTCGTGCTATAGAAAATAGACAAAGCTAGAGGATGCGTATGCCATGCTGTGTAAGTAAGAAGTAAATACTTGAACTCCAGTCTGGGCTGCAAACTTTGTGGAACAAATCCACACATTTATAAAGGAGATATTCCCGGCACAGGCAGAAATTGTTACAAAAGTGGAAAGAGAAACAACTTTGCAGTACAATACAATGGGTAGAAGAGAAAATGTATAGCTGGCGAAGATGAGGACTGTTGGTCGTTGACACCTGACCAAGAAATGGTGTTGGCGATCGATGGTAAGAAACATAAGGTGATCAAAGCGAGATGTGGGTTGAGCAACACTTGCTGATGTACCAAATATATTCGTGAGCAAATGTGAATATCATCACATTCAAATACACAAACAGCACACACATTGTTGCTGCAAATAATAAACTGAAATGTATGATGGAAACACAATAACGGCAAAGAAAAGCATCACTAGTTGTACACAACCCTGTTACCAAAAGAAGGTGGGTTTTTTGTCGTGGTGAATCCTAATTGTCTGACACCCATAATAGGCATGTGTACGGCTGAAGAGATGGGCTTTATTACCAAAAATTACGAAACATTTACAACCCTGGTTTCGGGATCTGGCAGGTAGCTTTTGCAGGATAGAAAATCCAGACTTTCGAGGTCAGCACGCGGCCATCACTCAGGGTTCAGCCCCGATTTAAATTTTTCGTCTACAGCCGGCATTCCAGTTCGATTGCCTTAGGAGGTCATCCGTAAATGACGTCACGCTTTTTAAAACGGTTTTATCTTCCCCCCCCCTGTCACATATTGTCACAAAACGCCAGAACCCCACCCCCTAAAATGACGCCACACTTCAGTCTACAACCCCCCTTCAAAATTGTACTTGAATTTTTTTTTTAAACAGCGATATTTTTCCAAAATCTTTATGAACTCTGTCTGTTTTTCAATCAATTTTTATTACAATTTATTGAAACATTTTTCTAAAACGCGTAATGACAAATAAAACTCGTTTTCTAACATTGCAAAAGTGTTACGTCACACCTTCTGAACCACCCCCCTCCATTAACACCGTCACAAAATTACGCATCCCCTTCCCCCTCCGAGTGACGTCATTTATGGACGACCATATCGAGCCACATGTCTACAGCGACTGTATAAATGTATAGTAAAATATGTAATCGACTGTTACTTCAACTAAGTCACGATATGAATAGGTTCAAATTATTATATGTAGATTTTATGTACAATAACGGCCAACTAGGTCACAGGCAGGATGAGCACTTCCAGTAGTAATAACATTACAGTAGCGAGTACAGTTGCAGTAATGAGTAAGCTTAAACAGTGACAAGATGAACGTCTGATGAGCGCAGTTTACAGTTTTAAAATAGGGCTTGTAAGTAGATCACAACTTCTCGTTTTCGTTGTTGCCAGCTAGTAGACTTTGAGACCGTAGACTTACAAGCCCTATTGGTAAGGATAATAGCCAGGTCCGATAACCACTTGACTCAGGCAAGGGTTTACGGACGGCTAAAAAAAATTATTATCAGGTCCGATGACCACGGAACAATTCAATGCCGGCAGTTTACACCTGAAGTAAAACAAAGTTACTCAGTAAAACAAATTTAACTACAAGGGTAGGCTACTAATATATTTATTAGACTTAAAAAATACATTGTTGCATCAAATGGTACTGTAAATAAATTAATACCTTACCAAAGTTCGATGAATTCCCCTTGAACATGTGGAGCCGCCCCACAAGGGCACAGCCAGAGGCGTAGCGAGGGGGCGGGGGGTGCGGACCGCACCGGGTGACACCATTTAGGGGGGAGGGGGTGACACCAAGGCAAAAAATAGCAAAATATATAGTGAAAAATGATAATTCCACTTAATTAAGTGATTAATTAAAGTGTTAAATAGTCTTTTAAGAGGTGCACATCGAGAGTTTGAGGGTGGGGGGGGGGGGGATGGTGTACAATAGAAAGTTTGAGGGGGGTGTGCAAATCGAAAGTTTGAGGGGGGGGGGGGGATGGTGTACAATAGAAAGTTTGAGGGGGGTGTGCAAATCGAAAGTTTGAGGGGGGGGGGGGTTGCAAATCGAAAGTTTGAGGGGGGGCGCAAATCGAAAATTGAAAGTTTGTCCCAGGGAAGGGTCTCTACGCCTCTGGGGGGGGGGGGTGACACCATTAAGTGCCGCACCGGGTGACACCCGACCTCGCTATGCCACTGGGCTCAGCTACACTGTATCGAGCAGAAAGTAAGAGAGAGATTTGATTTTACCGTCACATTTATTTAATTGAAGAGATGTCAAATATATTTTTACAGTGGCGCAGGGCAGGGGGTGTCAGGTAACCCCCCCCCCCAACACACACATTCAATAGCTTACACTTACTGTCAAACGGCGCTCAAGTACCGCTGCCACATGCGAGAGTCTATGTTGAACCAAACATATAATCCCCCACCCTCAATTGACACCCAAAATGGAAGAAGTATCAGGTATAAAGCATACCCCCCCCCTCTAACCCACCTACAACGAACCCTGCCAACTTAATTGCCCCTTCCTAACTTCATACGGTCGTGTAAAGTCGTCCAAACCACTCCCCCTTCCTATACTTGATTCTGCACCAAACAGCTCAAACATCCTAAATATGTGGAATAGGCTTTGGTGGGCATGTGAAAAAAAATACTCCTGGTATTCCACGGCAATTAGAGTGGCACTAGGGTAAGTGTAGTTGCTATGGGGTAAGTGGGTCAGTAATTTATTTATTTGAAGGTTTAACGTTAAAGTGAAAATTAGCAGAGATTCTAGCCATGAGCAGCTAACCCTGGACTTTGTTTTGTTTTTTACATTCTTGTACAATATATTATAAAAAGTGAATTTTTATCAATCTATCATTACTCTTGGTTGTCAAATAATGTTCATACATTTATTGCATTTCTTTTCAATAAACAATGTCCAATTTTGTGTTTTGCGATTCGACACCCAGTCACACCCCCCCCCCCTGAATAAAAATACAAATAAAATTAATAAATGTCTTTAATTGTTTGAAGGAAAACGCATGTTTTGTACCTTATTTACGAATATACCTATTTGGAAGTGAACAAAAAGTATATTTCATGCAACTATATTACCAACACAGCATAATTAAATAAAATTTAAACAAGTTCCATAGAGACAGACAGACAGACAGACAGACAGACAGACAGACAGACAGACAGACAGACAGACAGACAGACAGACAGACAGACAGACAGACAGACAGACAGACAGACAGACAGACAGACAGACAGACAGACAGACAGACAGACAGACAGACAGACAGACAGACAGACAGACAGACAGACAGACAGACAGACAGACAGACAGACAGACAGACAGACAGACACACAGACAGACAGACACACAGACAGACACACAGACACACAGACACACAGACACACAGACACACAGACACACAGACACACAGACACACAGAGACAGAAAGACAGACAGACACTCAGACAGGCAGGCAGGCCTGGTGCCCAAGAGGATTTCCGTATAATTTCTAGTGCACATATTCGCACTGTTGTCTGATGAGTTTTTTTCTACTGTTTGAACTTTTGTGTTTTTTACAGTATAATATGTTTGTGAGTTTTGAAAATAAAATAATATAACTATTATTATATGTACAAGGAGCTGGAGAGCCGCATCTTGACTTCAAAAGAGCCGCATACGGCTCGCGAGCCGCAGGTTGCCGACCCCTGGTCTAAAGAATAATGTACAGTATTCAGAAGTCGCGTAGACAGAAACTAGTCATAAGGAGGTGTTGGTTCAAAATATTGCCACTAAATATAGAAATAAATGTTTATATATATATATATATATATATATATATATATATATATATATATATATATATATATATATATATATATATATATATATATATATATATATATAATCTTTTTAAATAGAATAAAAAAGAAAGTAGAATAGAATACAGTAGAATGGAGTTTAATTTAGTCAAAATAATTAAAATTGAGTATAATTTAATATAATTAAAACGTATAAGAATACAGAACAATTTTGAAAAATAAACTAGATCGTGAAAAATATATTAGAGAACAGTAATAAAGAGTAAAATGGCGTAGAAATTAATCGAATATCTTTCACATAAGAACCAACACATTGCGACTCCCGTTATATCAAATAGTCGTTTCACACACTTCATCGCACTAACCCCCCAATCCACACACAACCGCTCACCACACACCATAAATTCCCCTCCCAGGGCACACACCCATTCCCCCTACATTTTTCACACAACAAGTAAAAGGAATTAGAAATTAATAGAAAGAAGTAAAATGGAGTAAAAAAGTTACACAGTTGAGTACAGATAAATGGAGACATAGCAGCCTTCTAAATATTTTAAATGGGTAATATAGGACTTGTATGTAATTCGCAAGCAGGGAGGTAACTCAATCTAACCTGCTTTTACATTTCTTC